TTAATCTTTATCAAACTTAAAATTTTAATCCCAACACATAAAATTTTAATATTTTTGTAGTCCATATAAATTTATTAATCATTTAGTTCCTATAGTTGTATAAGCTTTACCTCTTAGTCTAAGTTATCAATTTTAATTTTCGTGTAGTTCTTATACATACAAAATTAGTCTCTTTTTAGTTATTTTGTATCTAAAACTATTGGAACTAAATATATTAAAATTAATATATAATGATTAAAGGATATAAGTATAGAGATTAAAAGGTAAAATTTATTAAAGTATAGAAACCAAACGAGTAATATTATCTTAAAAATATTACGTACAAAAATAAAAATGGGGTGATTTTCAAATGAGTACTCAAAGTTACGTAGAGTCAAAGATAAATATAAAAGTAAAGAAATAGATAGTAAGAAAGAAAATAACAAGGAATTATATTGAACATCAAAGACTTTAACTTTTAAAGTCTCTAACATTTTTATTTTATTTTAAATTTGATTTATCTTCTTGAGTCTAAAATGACTGTATCGAATATCAATCAGCAAAAAAAAAAATCAATAATTATTACTCACACCAAATAACATATCATAAATATTAAAATATATAAATTAAAGTGTGAACTGTTAAAGTTATTTTCAATGGCTAAAGTTTTTTATTTTTTTCTTGAATGCTTTAAAGAGTCCAATTCATGTTGTTACGTTTGGAATGTACCATGTAACTTACATTAAAAATGAATTTAATTTTGGAATTGAGAAAACAAAAAGGAGGATGGGCCACATAAAATTTGATTGAGATGATTGCATGATGTGAAAAGCTAACTAAAATATAGCCTCATAAAATGATAGATTAATTTTCAATGGATAAACACTCATTTTTTCTCCATATTTTTTAGTCTAATTATTACCCACTTAAATTCTGAATAGTAAAGGAATTTAAAAATTCACGTTAGGCCATAGGATTAAATTTACCAAGGAAAAATTTCAGTATAATTTGAATTTTCAAATAAAAAATTAGATTAACAATAATATATTGTTTTAATTTTTTACTACTTTAATATGTCATGTTATACGAGAGAGAAATTCCCTGCAAATATATGTCAATAAAACAGGGATGAAAGTGACAGTTTCATGATAAAACTGCCTTATTGTGCACCTTTATTTGTAACTTGAGTTAAAAAAAAAAATCATTATGTTTAATATTGAATAACATTGAATACAGTAAATGTACTTGATTTGACCATATTATTTTGTTCAAAAAAATAAAACTTTGACCACATTAAATTTTCAAACCAAAAAAGCCGGTTATATCACTGTAATTATTGAAATATTTATAAAAGGTAACTGTTGTTGATTCATAAACTATTTGTTAAACACAGTATATAAATATAAAAGTATGCTTCAAAATTGTGGGGAAGTCTAGTTCTCCAAGTTAAGCATGGTATCTAAGTTAATATAATTTTTTTTCTGTGTTCAACTTTTATTAATAATTTTTTTTCAAAATCTAATATTTCTTTATTTTGACTTTTAAGTAAATTTTACTGCATACTGTAATTGTTCTCTTATCTAGTTTATCTATAATCTCCATCTACTCATCGTAAATAAATAAAAAATACTTAATATGATTAAATTTTCAAAGACAATTTTCAAAATTTTCTGTCTAGCAATAAAATTGTATATGAAATTTAATATATGTTAGATATATTACCTTCATTTTATATTTATCTTTTAACTTTAGTTAGTTTGTTATTATTTCTTATTTATATTTTGGACTTAGTTCATATTTCTTATATTATAAACAGAGAACCCTATATGTATATTCAATACGATCTCATACATAACTTTTACTGTTTTCAACATGGTATCTAGAGTTAGGTTCTTTTGAATTTTTTTTTGTTGTTTTTACCACTACACTTGTCGCTACCGACGACGGTGCAATCTACCACTATCGACGGTGTCATTATCTACCACTATCACTATCGGAGTTCTAGTTTCGACCGACAATCACATGGTTTTGATCATCTCGGCGAGAAGACCATCATGCCATTAACAAAGGCTTCATCGGAGCTCCTACGCGCTCTTTCGACCGGTAATCACATGGTTTTGATCGTCTTGGCCAAGCGACCATCATGTCATTAACGACACATTCATCGAAGCTCCTACACGCTCTCAACGCCTTTTGAAGTTGTGGATTTGCTCCCTTTTCCATCGTGCATGGTGACATGTCTCAGTAATTCAGAGCATCGAGGTCGCTTGTTTTTCGTTTTCAGGTTCATTATGTGTTGTTGCTCATCTCGTCCCCTTTTAGGCAGTTATTCAGAACATTGAGATTGTTCTTTTTCCTTTTTTGGATACTTTGATTGGAAAATCTTGGATTTGTATAGTTTCCATCTCCTGTTCATCCATGGCTTCTTCCACTGTCATCTCTTCTAACCTCTCTTTTGACACCACTTTGTTTGACCTGTTCATATGTTTTTTCTCCCATGGAAAAGATGACTTTTGTTAGTTTATTTGTAACAGTGGTAGCTCTCCAACAATGACCTCTTTATCCATGGGATGTCAACAATGCATTCCTCAACGACAATTTGTAAGAAGAGAGATTTAGATGGAACAACCTCCCATATTTGTTGCTCAGAGAGAGTCTTTTGGATTAATATTTCGCTTTTTATGTCGTCTTGCAAATCATTAACAATTTTGTGTCATAGAGTGCAAAAGCATATATTTTCACTAAGACTTGATGAATTATATTAATAACAGGCTTGATACATATGTATATTCTAGCACGAATAAGAGTGTTAGATATATTATCTTTATTTTTATTCTTTAGTTATTTTTTTATTATTTTTTATTTGTATTTAGCCCATATTTATCCTATTATAAATAAATGATCCTATGTGTATATTTAACACAAGAGAGATTAATCTTGAACAATTACATTATTACAATATATAGGGCATGACATAACTCATGCAGAATACCCATTGTTTCTGTACGTATATGCATATACTTACACATATAAATCAATGTTTCTCACTCATACTAAAGTTTTAGGAACTACGATTTGTAGAAGTCCATCCCTGAAATTGGAGAAAGAAACAGCAAATCATCAGCTTCAAATGTATAAAGGTAAAACACATATATTTGAACTTCTGCAAATCCACACACATCATAACATACTACTTCTGCACAAAAAAATAGTTTCTGAGTAGATGTTATAAATTATATAGCTTCTGCATTGAGTTTGAAAAATTTACGAATTACAAATCCGTGGCAGTGCTGTAGATGCCAAGCAAAGCATTAACATTGGCATAGATTCAGCTTTTCTGTACTTAAAATACCATCATGATCTAACTGCCAATAAAACACAAAAGTAATAACCATCATTACAGTATCTAGATTCAGCAAGAGTGAATCAGCCATTTTAGCCAAGAACATTAGGTATTCAATGGCTTTCTCAGTTATTTAATTGAATTTCAAGCTTACAATTTAAGACACCATCTTGTGTTACTATAATCATTTACTGATCCAATAACCAAAACTACTAAAAAAAGTACTAATCATATAATGCAATAGACCAAATTAGAAGAGTTTTTAATTCATGAGTTAACATTAAGAAACACATGCATAACACAGATATAACTCACAAAAAATCAGCTGATATTCTGTCCTTGTTCACACCAGAAGGAAGTTGCCACAGCACCTCATATGGTCCATATAATATTTCCCTCCGATGGTATGAAGAAAATGAAGCATTTGGACAACTAGCAATTGTCCAAGAGCTTGTAGAGCGTCTACCTTGGACACACAACCTGTCACAGTTCACATATTCACTCTTTTATCAGAATGAAAACAGTAATGTACTTCAAAAGATTCATAACAAATGAAAGAATCACTCCAAAAAACACAATAATGACTTTCAGATAAAAGTAGTATCCAACAATAGTTTATTAAGCCTTATCCTTTTCTTCAACATTCCCTTGCTATTATTGATTAAGCAGAACTAAATGCTTAATACCATAAATTGCAAAGATTATAATGATTAGTATAAGATATGCTTCTTACTTTAGATCATCAACCTCCACTTTTATGCCACTGATACTGACACCTGGAACTTCCACTGGGATGACATATTTGCTTTCTGATTCTGCAACATCCATCCTTGGAGACCACTATATTCCTGCAGAAGTATATTGACAATCATCATTTAGCAGTTGACAAACAGCATTAAAAAGTTCCACCAATAATTCAAATAATTTAAATGCTTCTGCTTGTTATAGATAATCATCTAACATAACATCAAATAACTTTCTGAGCTCAAAAGTGCTAACCACAATTTCAGAATAGCACGTTTTCTTCTCAGAATGTAACAGATCTCCTCTAGTCTGTCTCTTTGGCCTGGCAATTGTAGGTGGTTCAAGTGTATCAAAGCCTTGCTCCGGAGTCAGTGATTGGACCACTGAAATTTTTGCAGGCTAGCAAAACAGGGTGCTGTTGCATTAGAAGCGCATTCAGATGCAGCACCAGCACCATGATGAGTTTTAGGAGCAAAAGTTGAGCCACCCTGAAAAATTTTTGTATCAAGAAGCCAGTGAGAAATGAATCATTTACCAAAAAGATAAGTAAATAGAACATTGTGGAGTAATTCAAAACAATAAGAACACATTAAGTACCTCTTCAATTGAAGTTTGCCTCATAAAATAACCAAGAGAAGAAGATGCTTGGCGTGCAAAATACACCTTATTATCGCATCTCCGGAGCACAGAATTCAGACTGCCACTGCAGTTCTGATGGTAAACATATATATTCAAGAAAAAAAAAAAAGGATAGTACATACAGATTATTAGAAGTTGTAAACCAGAAGCTACAAAACAAATACGGGGGTCTATTAAAAGAACACACATAGAAGGTGTTGCTAGTGTGGTACCTACAACATGGTATCTCAAACCTCTCGGCCACCCCATTTTTTCTGCAAATTTTGGTGCCTCATTATAGTCAAAATTATATAAATTACCAAGAATGGTATCCAACATAAGATAATGAATATGGTTTTACAAGCATAACACATTAGACAAAGATACATAAAGACGAACACTAGAAGTAAACCACTGAGTTATTAATTCCATCCAACTCACTAGGCTAGTTTACAAATGTCCTCGTATTCCATAGCTTTAAGCACTCTGCCATCATAGGGTCCTTTCTCGATCTGCACCTTAGCACAAAAATTATCTGTATCCACGCCCAACAACTTAGCAATTGATCCTCTATACGCGCCGTTGACAATTTTAACACGGCCACCAACTTGTGGAATCACAGTTTCAAGCTCTGCCTGATCAACTTTGAGCACATGCTTACTTTCAAGAATTTCTATTTCCCCAACATACTTGTCAACCACCTTCCGCACAACACCCTTTTGCTTGTAGTAGCCCTTCTCTGCCAAAACTTTGCTCATAACCTTAACAACAATTCCCTGGTGCAACCAGTAATCCTTCCGGTTGATTTTTTCCTTTTTCTTCTCTTCATCCCTCATCATTTCCTCCAAAGTTGATTTTCCACCACCACTTTCTTTCCTCTTCAAATTGTTTCCAGGATTTCTTTCCCCATATTTCTCTTCATCAGCCTCCTCAAACACCACCCTTGATGCCTCACGTTTTTCCTTGGTCACAGGTTGTTTAACCAATGAAGACCCAAGAGAAAACCCTATCTTAATTCCATCTTCCATATTTAGTTCCCTTGGAGGCTCAGATTGTGAAGGCTCATCAGCCTCAGGAGTAGGCTGCTGCATCATTTGCTCAGCCATTTCAATCTGTTTTCTGATCTCCTTCTCTTGCTTTTCTTCATCTGCCATATCTGCCTTGATTCTCTTATTCTTCATCCTCTCCTTGAAAAGGGTTTCTGAATCTCTGTCTATGTATGTAATGAACCATCCCTTGGGTGTTTCCTCGACCTTACATTTGCCAGTTCGACCCAAGTACTTGACAAATTCAGTAAGAGTTGCCCACTGGGTGGAGTTCATATGAACATGGTGCCTATCATTTATGTATTCGTTATAAACTACAGTGGCTGCGACACGGCTGAATCGATGACTGCGCTTCATGTGCTCTAGAAATGAGCTCTCAAACTCTTCGGAATAGCCCTCAACTATACGGTGTGGGTTTTGTCCAAAAATTTGCATTTGTCGCTGATGTCCTTCACTCATACAATGGCATTTAAATCCATTCTCATCTCGGCACTGCTTCTGGCACATCTGGCAATACCATCGAAGCTTCTGCAATCCTTTTGCTTTGATTCGATTGGCAATTGCTTTTGGTGTGAGAAACTCATTTTTCCCCATCAAGAATCTGGGTGTAATATTTTAGATCAAATAAATCATTGTGGGAGTACATAATCAAAACAGTATTGTAATAACAGCTAAAATTGGTAAAGCATTGCAAAACAAATTATTTAGGACCAGTATTAAAGCATTAGATATAATAACTAACGTATACATTTAGAGGTTTAGATCAACATACAATAAACAACTTCACTTTTTACTTTCCGTGACATGTTTATTAGAATCCTTCAAAGAAACTCATTTCTCCTTGTCACGAATTTGAATATAACATTTCAGATCTAACAAAATCAGTCTCCTTACAACTAGAATTACATTGAAGGGAGTGATAGCGGTAAATTTTACCATTATTTGTGGTGCATTTAAAATACCAAATCAACTATCTTTGAGCTTGAAGATTGCTTAATCCTCTCTTCTCTCTGACTTTTGTGAATAAGTTAGTCTAGGTTATATTTAATGGTTTTCATCACTAATTCCCACAATTTTGTAGGCAATTTGTGTGCATTGGAAGAGCATCAAGTTATCAAGGAGTTGGAACCCAAGAAAAACAGCAAAAGCACCAAACTAGAAGGCTAATGAAGGCTAGCAGCTCGCCTGGGCGCCCCCTCCAGGGGCGCTGAGCGCCACAGCCTCGCAATCACGCCTGGGCGCCCTCTACAGGGGCGCTGAGCGCCACAGCCTCGCAATCTCGCCTGGGCGCCCCATCTAGGGCGCTGAGCACCATCCAGTTTTGCTGAACTCACGCCGGACACCCTCCTGTCTGGGCACTGAGCGTGACACTTGCTGATGTGGCACCCTAGACCTGTTTAATGCTTCCATGCAACGAGGGTGCCAGCTTCTTGGCAGCTAAAGCACTAAACACCATTTCTTAGACCTCTTGGAGCAAGTTTAGGCAGTGGGAGTTCTCCATTCCTCTTCCTTGGGTCTTCATCTCCTTCATTCTCTTCCACTGTAAGCTCAAGCTCTCCATGACAATGGAGAGCTAACTTCATTTTGTTGGGCAATGATGTAACTATGAAACTCTAATGTAAATGCACTTGTTTTGAATGAATATAAGCTTCTTTCATTGATTGTGAGTGTTTATTTCCTTCTTTTAAAGCTTGTTATGATTTGATCAACCATAACATGATTCTTTGGTTTGCTTAATGTTGGAAAATATTGTGTGAACCTTGAACTAGACTAAACACCTAAAGGAAATTGTATCTAGGAATAGAACTTGAACCTTTAGTTGTCTTAAATCTCATTTCTTAAAGCATATGAACTTGTTAGGTTTTTCAAGGGATTCGAGTTTAATGAGTAAGTCTAGACTCTCTCTACCAAGGGATTGGGTTTGAGGTTGACATTAGCAATTTAATGAAGAAGAAGTAATGTGCATTTGGATGAGTGTAGTAGGTAAAATCATACGCCAACATCAAATAATTAGATACAACCACTAATGAACATTCTCATGAATTTTGATCAGAATACAATAAACATTAAAAAACCACCAAAGATTTCCGAAGGAAACCACCACATAACAGTCAGCTCAATTACTTTGATTCTCAACACGACGCGTATAATAAATCAATGGCTTTCCAATCACACTCTGCCCAAACCCCTGTTCCAACATTTTGGCTCAGTATCCTATTCTAGTTTGATTACATCCCGATTACTCGAAACACTCTTCTGTCATTCTATGCCTTCCAATCAAAGCATTACCATTACAGACGATAAATTCCATTCATTCTACGAATAGAAATACAAGAGAGCAGAGAGAGAAAACGGACCTGATAGTGACAACAATTCCGGCGGTGGTGAGCAGCGGTTTGCGGCGGAGACGGCAGCTACAATGGCCGGAAACCCTAGATGTGGGGAAATTGCGAGTTGGGAATGGGGGAATATGGAGAAACTAAAAAAAAAGGGATTGGTATTAGTACAGGAAAGGGTTTTGTAATTCCCTTCACGGCAATTAATAAATAGCGTGAAGAAGAAAATAAAACTACTTTTATTTTATTTACTCTTGTTTTAACAAAAATATATTAATTTATTAAAATGATTGTTTATCAATTTTTATATCAATCAATTTTAGATAAAAAAATAAAAAAATTTAATTTCTAAGAAATTTTTATATATTTTCGTCTTTAAGAATGTATCGATATATTCCTCTTATTTAATTATGTTAAGTTTTTTTTACGTATAAACTATATTTTCAAACAGATATTAAAATATAAACTTGTATAAAACTTAACTTGTATAAAACTTAAATATTAAAAAGAGACGTTTGACACGTCAAAAT